AAGAAGGTGAAAAATATTTCTGTGCTCTGTGTGTGTGTGTATGTGTGTGCGCACGCAAGAAAACTTTTACCTCATCCATTCATGCCTGCAACAAAACATACTATGTTCAGGACACTAGGTTAAGTTAAATTGTTAGAGATTTACAGACTGTCTAAGCAATCTTATAAGATTCTTAAAGCTCAAGAAAAGATAACTTAGCTCGCACTTTTATAAGTTGACCAGTACAGAATACAGAGAAAAAGCACTATATAATCTATAGAAGACACCAATTCTAGTCCTGTGGTAGACCTATGATGGATGGTTTCAGATTTCAAGGCTGTTTAACAAAGTTTTCTAGTAGATATGGCTGAATATGAATAGATGGAATGAATTTATTGTTGGCCAAGGTGTCCAGGGAGAGACAGTAGCATTCATTCAATTGCTGAAAGATTTATTGAATGATTACTGTATAGCAACTACAAGGACTGGCCCTTAATAATTCTTTCCACCTCTGAAATTCTATATTTCTAGGGCTTCATGTCAGAGGGCAAGTTGCCTGACCAACCTGAGGGTATCTACCTGTTCAAAAAAAGGTGGGCAGTGGTGGCGGGGCGGGAGCAGGTGGTAATAATACCTGTCCTGCCTCCTTCCCCTAGACTTTAATGAGATAATGCATAATGAAGCATTTTATACATTGTAACATTTTTATGAATTCATTATGTCTATACATGTGAAAAATGTAAATAACCCCGAAAAATGGAAATGTCTGCAGAAGTTATCTACTTTTTCTGGCACTTTCTCAAGCTTAAAAGGATCTAACCAGATTTTAACACTTAATAATAATGCCTTGTTTGAAACATTGTATTTGCCACTAGATCAGACATTAGATTGGGAAGTGAAGGAAGGGTGGTTCAGGGAGTATCTAATATGTTGTCAGCGTTCTGGGAGTGTTCTTTACAGTTTGGAATTAGGAATCGCTGATGTCATGATCAGTCACATTGTCATGGCAACATCGGAATTTCCTCATTTGCCTTCTCTTCGCTTGGGGAGTATCAGTTTGCCACAGGTCTGTCATCAGTTCACCCCATGTGTTAAACATAGTAGATAACCCAGAACTAGTCATTCTTAAAGACACTTGGGGTGAGGAATTTTTATAAGCTCTTTAAATATCCTGTTTCAGTACTCTTAACTATATATCCTGATGTTGGAAACTTTGCCTTCATACATATTCAACTGAATAGAAATTCATTTGTAATTCTATATCTTCTTGTTTGAACCTTTATAATTCAGTGGAGAATGAAAGGCTTTTCAACATTCTCATTTACATAAAGGACGTCATTAATTATTCTAGCATCCTCCTCTTCAAGTGAAATAGACCTAATTTAATGGTAATTTTAGCAACTGAAGAGAAAGGAAACTTACTGTTTCTTTCCTTCTGTGTTTTGAATGTTTTAAAACCTTACTTGTGCTATCCATCCCAGGTTTTGGATAGACATTGGTTATGCACTCTCTCCCTACAGATAATTAGGAATTTCTTATTAAATAACCTTTTGCCATTCTTAGCTTACATGAGGGTTTTGTTTTCCCTGGTACAGTTTGCTGTTAAAGTTGGATTTTTACTCATGTGAAGGAAGTGGTCATTCCAGGTTCAAATTAATTTTGTTTCTCATGATGTAAAGATTTTGGCTCCAGTTTTCCACAATTTTTTTTTTTTTTAATTTCCTAAGTACTTTCTATCTCTTCCCAGGTCCTATAGCAAGAGGTGGATGTGATTAGAAATTTTCCCAGCACACTGTTCCCTCCTTCCTCACCTCATCTCTTGTCTTTTACCCCACAGTTTGCTAACATACATAGGTTATTATGTTACTTCCATCTCTTTGGAGTCAGAGAGACCCCAGATGAAACTCCAGCTCTACTACTGTAATTTCAGAGATTACCTAGTAGTATCTTTCTAGGTAAATTTATGAGTTTTACTAGTCATAATTTATGAGTTTTACTATAATTCATGGAAAATTCATTGAATTATCTCGAAATAGTCTGAAAATAAGCACTTACATTTTTATAGGCTTACAATAGGCATGGAGAATAACAGCTCCATACCAGATTTTCACAATCAGAGTATAGAAAATTGAGACATTGTCCAGTCAATTTAGGAAAACAGCCATTCACAATATATAAAAAATGGACCTTCTCTTTGTCTTGGTACCCCAAGCAGTTTACTTATTTTGCTATGGAATTTGATCTATAGCTACAAATTCACTGTTGTTTAAACAAAAGCAAAATCTTGAATTTTTCATTTAAATAGCCTTTAATTCAGATGTTGTATTTTTGAAAAGGATATGACTCCCATGTACCTGTTTTTACAGTTTTTTGTTTGTTTGTTTGTTTAGATAGGGTCTTGCTCTGTCTCCCAGGCTGGAGTGCGGTGTTGCGATCTCGGCTCACTGCAGCCTCAACCTCCCAGGTTAGTTGGGCTAGCTAACTAAATCACTTTTTTTTTTAATATAAAAACTTAGGGACAGAAACTAATAGATAACCCTTATACCAAAAATTGCTGTCAGCTTTAAATTTTTATTAACTATCATGCAAGAGTAGAGCAATAACTATTTTATGAACAGATTAGATCCCAAAATGTTTGTAAGTTATTTGTTTCAAATTTGGAGGATGTTTCTTCATAGAGAGATGTTGTAAATGGTGATTAGGATTTTAGTTGACTTAAAACAAGCATCTGTGAATCTCATAACATAGCTAATATCTAATACGGTCTCTCACCCTTTTTTGAGGGAAAATAAAACTGGGTTCCACTTCAGGATTCTGCAAATAACTTTCACCTAACTACTATCTCAGCTATCCTACAATATCCCAGAAGATAAATTTTTCTGCTTCTCTCCCAACTCTGTCCCACCAATGATTCCAGAAAAAAAAAAAAAAACTGGTTTAAAGAGAGGAGTTGCACCTTAGCAACCATCAGTGAAATGAGATTTAGATGCTAGGTTGGGTCTGCATATATACCTGTACTATTCACAATATATTCAAATATTGGAAAGTTTGCATTTATTCAGTGGACTGGAAATTCAATGTAAACCCATATGCTTTTACAACTGAGCAAATGGAGGCTCCTAGAAGGGATAAGTGCCTTGCCCAATGTCACACAGATGGTAAATGGTTAAGATTCAGGGTCAGGTGCTCTGATGCCCAAGCTGTGGCTCTTAATACCATGTAAGTTTTTCTCTGTGGGGTTTGGACTTGACCCATAGCTAATGGTAATAATAACCATTATTAATATTATTGGAGACAGGGGACTCTGGAGTCAAAGAGACCCAAGATCAAACCCCAACTCTACTATGTGTTGGATCTGTGACCTTGGGCAAGTTACTCAGTTTTCTCTTTGGTAAAATGGGATAGTCATTCTTCTGTCCTGGGGTGTGTGTGCAATGTGCTTAGGAAGTGCCTGGAATATAGTAGTTACTCAATAAATGACAGCTATTATTATTTAATACTACATTCAGGGAAGCAGCAGTGGGACAAAACTCATGTATTCCGTTTTGTTAACCAGGACAGAATAATCAGACTATGGCTTCTGGTAGCGCTCATCAGAATATGGCTATGTTTATATTGTTCTCTATACCTTCTAGGATTAGAGCTATAGTTTTATTTTATTACAGTGGTTTCAGCTTTATACACATGTACTTTTATACATGTCTAGGGAGCTTTTAAGTCTGGAATAAGAATTGCAGATTTTTTAAAAAGCAAAATAGTAAATAATAGAAAATGTTGCTGCTACTTTAGAAATAGGGTACTTTATCAACTCTATTTTGTACCAGGAAAGAACAGAAATTTGAAGAATCTGCTGACCCCATATTTTTTCTTTTTTTTTTTTTTTTTCCTCTGTTTTGCTGGGAGCCAGAGGCTTTGTGAGCTCTTATACATAGACTCTCAAATGGAAATAGTTTTTTTGGTGTGAACTGCATATACTAACCTATACTGTGTGGCTATATTTTATGCATTAACGGTTGCAGTCTGATATAGTGTTGAATGAATTTTTCCTCCTAATTCCTTTCACCATTCAATTTAACCCAAATAAAAATGGGTGCTTGAAATGGTTCAGCAGCAATAGAGGGATAGAACCTGCTGTAGGTCAGTTCTTTTCTTGATAGAGGTCTTCTATTCTTATCTCATTGGACATCTTCTCTGCCCCCATTTTTTTCCCCTTCTTTCAAAGCTTAGCTTCGCCACCATACTTTCTTTGTAGTAATTTCATTCAAAGCTTACTCTTTTATGTGGGGCTCAGTAATATGTGTATTAGGGTGTCGGGTCCTCTAGGACTCCTCACCTGCCCCTTTTAGGAAGTTCATCAATTAGCAATGATTTCAGCAGTGATTGCCTCAAGTCTGCATTCTCTCTCATTCCAGCCTTCTATCTGTAGTTCTGTTTTTCTGATCATCTGCACAATGCTTCTTTCTGAGTATCGCTCAAACAAAACATTTATACAGTTCAGCTTCCCACGCCCATGTTATATTCTGTATTGATCTCTCCCTGCTGTGGACTCCCATAGCACACGATTGTCTAGAACACTTGCCTGGCACTTATCACTTAATGCCTTGCATTATTAGTGTACAGCAAGCAATTCGAGTGCTCTATGGTTTACAAGTACTCACCTAGGAATTGAAGCATTATCTATAAGGCTTTTTTTTTTGAGATGGAGCATTACAGAGTTTTAGAGAGCACAAGACTTAGTAAATCTTTTAACCCTAGCCAGGTCTAGATTTTAACCCTAGTTTGCTACTTGCTTACTAGCTTTGTGGATAGGTCATCCAGCCTTAACTTTATTTCTTTCATCTGTACATTGAGGCTTATAACCCTTCCAACCTCAAAGGTTGTTGTGAAAGTTAAATGAGACGTGAAAAGTTTAAAAATGAAAATTTCATTTTAAAATTGTTGCTTTGGGACAAATGTGTTTCAAATTTAATTCTCAAATTTCAGGCATATGAGCTCTTTTAAGTGGCAGAAGGCATTATTACCTATGTGTGTCATCTCCTATTTCAGATTGCAGGCTTCTGCATGTACTGGTGGCTCCATCCTTATTATCCTAGTTGGAATATACCTCCTGGCTTATGAGAGTGATCTCTGATACTGCTCACAGTCTTCCTATTCATTCAAAAATGGCTCTTCTCCAACACATAACTTCTTTGAAGGAAACTAGACAAAAACAGATGAAGAAAAACTTCAGTGCACCTAGGTTCTTGAGAAAGACCTTTTTCTAGACTTTCGTTTTCCTTTTAAAGTTAAATCTGCAGCATACAGAACCTTAGAAAGCATATTCATTCAGCCATTTAACAGTTTTTCTAAAAAATGACCTCCCCTTGCCTAAATTCGCTTGTCATTAATTCTTGCTTTACCCTTGCTCCTGTTCTTTGATGTTCAGCATCAGTTATTTGCACAGTGCAACCATTTAAATCTACACACCACCATGATAAAACCTGGAAAAACAATAACAACAACTGCCATTTATTGAGTTTGACACTTTGTCCATGTACTGTACTTAAGACAATTTTGTGAGGAGTCTGGCACTCGGAGAGGTTAGCAAACTTGCCCAGAGCACAAGTGGGAAGCTGAAATATGGACCCAGATCTGCTTGGTTCTGCTTTAATTCTGTTCCTTGGATTGCAAAGTCCAGATTCCTTTAAGCTCTCTGAAGAAGGAAGGGTGTTTTAAGTACACAAGTGGAGGGGCTGTTGTAAGTCTTAAGAGCCAAAGCAGCTCTAGGGACTACAGCCCCCTCCATCATTTCACCGCCAAGTGCTCACCCACTCCTGGCATGCCGTACTCTCTGCCCGCTGCCAGTAAGCTTCCTGTTTACTCATAGTTTCTGCTTCCTCATAACCTTGGCTTGCATATGGTTTTGGCTTGTTGTGGCCTCTGCTCTACCCCTGGCACTCTTGCAGTTTCTGCCCCCTTAGTAACTGGTTCAGCCATTGGAGTTTTCTGAATCAAATCCCCAAGGGTGAGAATTGGATTGGTCCTGCTCATTTTTTTTAGTCCCAGCCCGGTCATAGGTCACAGGCCTGTGGGTTGCCCTTGGATCAGATTCCCACAGCTTCTTTACCTATCAGCTGAGTGAGGTGAGGGAGGAAGACATAGGACAGCCCAGGCAGCAAAGTCTGTTTCCCTTGAAAGAAGACGAGCATCAGCCAGGTGCAGTGGCTCAGGCCTGTAATCCCAGCACTTTGGGAGGCTGAGGTGGGAGGCAGATTACGAGGTCAAGAGATCGAGACCATCCTGGCCAACATGGTAAAACACTGTCTCTACTAAAAATACAAAAATTAGCCGGGTGTGGTGGCGCATGCCTGTAGGCCCAGCTACTCGGGAGGCTGAGGCAGGAGAATCGCTTGAACTCGAGAGGCAGAGGTTGCATTGAGCCGAGATCGCGCCACTGCACTCCAGCCTGGTGACTGAGCGAGACTTTGTCTCAAAAAAAAAAAGAGAATGAACATCTCTAGGACAGGTTCTTCCAAAGCCCTGTTTTTACCATGATAACTTGGGTCTCTCTGGACTGTTTTCTTACTTTCTCTGTGTTAGAACGTATTTGTTTCAAAGGCTGAGGAACGTTTTCAGATGAACCTCACCGAGATCTGTCCCTGTAATCACTCTTACAACTAAGCACTTGTGAATAATCAATAATTGAGTGTGTATGTTATATACAGGGTCTCATAGTTACATTTTTTTCCTTACGTTGCATTCTTTGTGTTTGAGTGACTTCATTACATTTTATATTTTGTTGAGGGTAGATTATCTTATCTCTTTGTAATGCTTTACTTACTTAAGAACACAGCACCTACTTAAGTTTGGAACTTTTGAACCCCGGTAGGCATTGTTTTTTTAAACCTATATGCCTTATATTCTATCCTTTCATGTCATTCACCATTACAGAACATACATTTTGTTGGCTTTTAGATATCCTTCTCTAGCCTTAAAGTCTTTTTAATATTCTTTTAGTATTCTTAGTATATCTTAGTATTTAGTATTAGAATTCTTTTAGTTTTCTACTTTAAATTTCATCATCACTTAAAAACTTTTCTTATCCCCATAAAACTATTGCAGAGTGTATCCAATCAAATTTTAGCATTCTGGACTGCACAGCGTCCAAAATATCATGACCTTAGAGTACAGCCATAGAAAAATTAATCGGTGCTGTTCTTTTGTGGTTTACATTGTGGTTTCCTAAGAGACCACTCTTGACAACTGAGGTCGTACAGGGAATTTTTTCCATAGATGCACAGATGACAGGTCTGAGCTGCTGGGGTGTTGAGCAGTAAGTTCTCAGAGAAAGGCACCTATGACTTGAACATTCTGATGAGCGTCTTCTATTTTATACTCGTGCTTGATAACTTGCAGTAAAGCATCCTAGTGAGAGAAGACAGCAAAAGGGCAGTCAAAACAGTTGTCTAGCAGAAAATAGTTCCAGCAGATACACCAACTTTCACTGAATGCTCATTATACTGTGTTTGATATTTAATCACTTTAAAGGACAGATTTTTACGTGAATTTTGTCTGGCAAGTTCTTACTCGTCCATTGTGCACCTAGTACTGTGCCCGGAATAAGTTACTTTGCTTTTTTTTTTTTAATGAAAAGAATTCGGAATTACATGTGTGTTTTATACGGTTATTTTTAATAGGTGAGGCTTTCCAGTTATCTGGCTGCGGAATGTTGGAAGAGCCTGAGTATGGAAGGGGTTCACTAAGTCACCAGCAGGATATCTAGGATGAATATTTTTTCCAGTTCCTCGCAGCTAGAAAAGCCTTTGAATGGCCACAGCTTTGCCAGAAGACTTCATTTCCACAGGGGACACTGTTTTCCTTAGGGAAGCCAGAAGGCATACGCCTTCACTTTTTAGACAAGTTAGGATTTTTCATTATCATGGCAGATGAGCCTTTCCAGGAAGGTATTAAGAGACCAGAAACCAAGGAAGAACTCTGTAATATTTACTGCGGCGATAGTATTCGGTAAAAGTCACCGTGGAACAGGCCAATTTGAAGGATGGCAAGCCCGTCCCAGTGGCTTATCCAGAGACCGCAGGCTCTGCCAGTCCGGGCTGCCGTGGAGGCCTTCTGCACTGCACAGGTTCGGGGCTTCATACGTCCACGGAAAGGTGGTCGAGAAAAGGGACAGCTTGAGCAGCCTTAGGTCATTTACATCGGGAAACAATGGGAAGTCCCTCCTCCCTTTGTCTCTTTTTTTGCCGAGTTTCTGTGTCCTTCGAAGAGAACACATTCGTGTCGCATCTAATAATTAACATAAGGAAGGATTACACTTCCAGTTTTCAGGGAGAAAGGTTTACCAAACCGATGCCCTTAAATGATTTTCGTTCCTTGATATTATCATCTTGAAGGAAAGCTGGTAAACTCTGGCTTAGGAATAAAACAAAACTTTACTGATCGTATTTGGGTGAGGGGCTGGGGAGTGGAGAACTGTTTCCTTTGCTAAAATTTTAGCGTGTGAATCGGGGGATGGAGACGTGCAGAGGTTTGAAGGGAGGGTCGTGTGTTCGTTGAAGTAGGGGTAATTGCCCGCACCTTTTCTTGAAGAGTGGCGAGGGGGCCTAGTTTGAAGGTGAAGAAGACAGGGAAGACCCAGGTGCCAGAGTGGTCCCCGAAGCGACGCCCTTAAAAGGGGCTTCCAGCCGGGGTGCAAAGGTGCCGCTGGTGCTTAGGAAAGAACCGAGGGGGAAAAAGAACAGAGGAGGGGGGTTGGCTACTCCGAGGAATGTGAGGCATGCGGGGAGCCAGACCCAACCATTGCACCAGAGCGGGGGCGCCGGCGGCTCCCCGGGCCGCCCGGCCCCGGCTCCGGCCCCGAGCCTGGGAGGGAGAGCGCGGGGGCCGGGCGGGCGGTGGGGCGGCGGGCGCCGGGCCCAGCGGGCGGGCGGGGAGGCGCGGGTGGGCCTGGGCGCGGCGCGAGGCGGTGCGCGGCCGCCTCCCCGCCCCCGGCCGGCGCGCTCTCAGGGCGGTGGTTGAGGCCGCGGTAGGTGGGGACGCGGCGGCGCTGCTCCTCCGCTGCCGCCGGGAGAGTCGGCGACGCCGCCAGCTCCGCGCGCGAACACCCGTCCATGGCACGCAGGGCGGCGGCTGCCCCAGCTGCTCGAGTCTCGCCCGCCGCCGCGCCGCACTTTTAGGCGAGTGCGGAGGTCGAGGGCAGAGGGGAAGTCAGCGCGGAGCTGCAGCCCCCGCCGGCCGCCGCCGCGCGGCGAGAGGGAGTTCCCAGAGCTGCCGCGGCCCCGGGCCCGGCCGGCCCCCTCCTTGCGCCCTCCCCCTCGCGGCGAGGCTGCCCCGCGCCGGCGCCCGCACCCGCCGCCCGCAGCGATGATCTTCCCCAGCAGCAGTGGCAACCCCGGGGGCAGCAGCAACTGCAGGACGCCCTATCGCAAGCAGGTGAGGCGGCGGCCGGGATGCCGCGCCGAGGCCGGCGAGCCCCGCGTTACAAAGGCGGCCGCGCCCGGGGGCTCCGCGCCTTCTCGGAGGGACCGGCTGGGCGGTGACCTTGTTTCCCAGGAAGGCGGCCCGCGGGGACGGCTCGGCCGGCGACCTGAGCAGGGGAGATGCTCTCTCCCCCGCCGCCGCCCGGGCCGGGCAGGTTGGGAAGTGGAGGAAGGGGCAGGGGCGGAGAGGCGGCGAGGGCAGAAGCGCGCCGGGCCAGGGGCTTCACCCAGCTCTGCAACAAGTTTGGGTTTTTCCCGAAACCTTTGTGTGTAGCGGAGTACGGTAATAAGTCGTCTCGCTGGTGTGCAGTCTTCGCTTGGAACCTCAGAGAACCTGTCTGATTCGTAGGAAACCCGGAAGACGTGTGTCTGTGTGTGTGTGTGTGTCTGTGTGTGTCTGTGTGTGTCTGTGTGTTTGTTCGCGCGCGCCCCCCTCACTTAAAGAAAAAAAAAAAAAAAAGAAACAGGAACTTCTACTGTCACTTTCTCAAGGTTTTCAGTAGCACAGGGAAATCCTGTGACATCCTAGTTGCAGAAGATACTTGGATATGCCTGAGTCATACACATACTCTTTCCTATTTTAATACCGTTTCATACATTTTTTAACAGATTGAACTCCAAAGCCACTTCAGTGGTTAGATCACAGTCCCCTGCCGGGAAAAGGAATGGAGCTGGGAGCTTATAGTTGAGGCCTTTTGTTTTATTTTTCATCTTTGTTTTTAAAAGAAGGTTACTGAAGCCATGTTGTGATACATCTCACAGAGCCTTTCAGCAGCAGCAATAACAAAACCTAGCTTTAAATTATCTAAAAAATGTGCAGGTCTGTTTAGAAAAGGTTAAACTGATTTAGAGGTCAGTGGCAAGATGCTTGTTGAGAAAACAAAAACAGGATTGCAGATATTTTTCCTCCATAATAAATCTCTTGTCTACATCCTTAGCCACTGAGACAAATCAATTAAGTTATTATCCCAGTAAGGATACAAGCGAACTGTAGCCTTCCATGCAGATCTTCCATGCAGATCTCTTAAGATCACGAGCGATGACAGTGATGCCTGGTGGCTTCCCTTTAGGTGTTTACAGGATTATTGATTATGTTTAGGTCTTGTTGTCAGAGTCATTCTTTTTGTGTGTGTGTGTCCTAGCATAAGTATATTTGCAAGTATTTTGGCAGTGTCAAAAAGAAATGTTTTCTGCCTTCTGGTCTTTGGTTCTTTTCTGTGTTAACTTTCCTTTAAAGAGGCAGTACACACACCGTGGTCTGTGTGCCCTTGATGTGGAAGTCCATGGAACTTTTACCTGGGTTAAGAAGTTCTTTCCTTTAATTAAATAAATAAAATCTGCATTTGTGATTCCGCTGAAGGATATGCTAAAATAGTTAAGATTCCGAAGCAGGCATCTCGAAGTCATTTCATGTGGCTTCATTTAAAAGAAATGCTCTCGGATCCAGTACACTTACGTCAACTTCATAAATGCGACCAATTTACAATAAACATTCCCCTTGCAACCCCTCGTCCCCCACCCACCTCACTCTACCTGAAAAGATGGCTAATTATGTTAGGGCCTTGTGTATTCATTTATTTGTTGTCAAAACCCGGCGGGGTGTTAGCTCTGAAATGGGGAAATGGCTCTGAGGGCGAGGCCTTTGGCTGTGAGGGGCTGGAGGTTTTGTGTGTGAAGGAGGGTAGCCTGCTGGTCTGGAGCATGCTGATAAGATGCTCTTCTTTTCACAGGGCTCTCCTTAGATTCAAAGACTAAAAGGGCTGACTGAATCAGAAAAACAAACAGACT